TGGCTCCCCACTGATGGGGCCGCCGCCTTACCGGCCCCCGGGGAGTCCAGGTCATCCATCGCTGCCAGGAGACCAGGACTGGGAACCAGCTGGCCGCTCAGCATCTCCGGTTTTGGTTCTGGCTCAGTCTGAGTGCCTGTCTGAATCAGAAAGTACTGAGGACCGAGACACGTCCCAGCTTCTGGACCCAGACTCGACTCTGTCCTCCAGCAGGAGCACCGACCGGAACCAGAGTAGAGAAGCAGAGGAAAACCGCCACCGAACGTTTCATGAGCAGCAGATTAACTGTTCGAGTTTGGCCTGAATGTTTTATTTGGTTCAGCAGGTTTTTGTGGCGACGGAAAATGTTCTGTTTTAAGACTGAAGCGACTTGGTATGCCACTCTTTGGCCTTTTCCAGGTAACAGTTCAGATGTACATGAAGACTCCAACTCGTCTCCCACAGAGTCAAAGTCCAGACGGTTCAGTCAGGAAACACCAAACGTAAGGTTGGTCCATATTCATCCACTGACTCAGCTTCCTGGATGGTTTTAGCTCAGAACCCAACATGTTCATACGGTACAGAAACACTCCTGTTGAAGTTTGAATCCACTTCTCTCCAATCATAACCCGACTCAACAACATCGTATTTAATACAAGCTAATGCTAAAGTACTACAACAGCATTTAGTGGAAGCTAATGCTAAGGCGCTAACATTAAACATGTTGATACTCATCATATCAATGCTGAGCTAAAACATAGTTTATCACCTCAGGCTCAAATTTGTCAATACATGATTTATTGACAAATTTGTGCTTTATAATTTACCTAAAAAAATATTTTGGAAAAGCTAAAGTGCACTGAAAATGCACAAAACATGGCTGTTAGTGGAGGTTTGTGATAAAAGTTTTGCCTTCAGCTGAGAGTCTGGATGAAATGGACCCAGTTTGGCAGCAGATCAGATTCCATCTGCGTTGGTCAGGAGATCCGACTTTGGAGTCGTCTTCCCGCTCCTGTTTGGACTTCTAGCTGGAATAAAGTTCTGAAACTTCCCCCTTTACAACTAATTACACTTTTCTAGATTTGTAAAGTTTTTGGTGATGTAGACCTGCTCAGTCTGCCTTTTTAAACTGTTTTAGTCACAATTTGGTTTTGATTTTTTGTGCATAACAAAGTCTGGATGCCTTATTTGGATGGGCTTCAGTTCTTCTGTGGACAGCTTTGAGGTGTTGGACCAATCAGAACCTCTGTCACAGTGAGCGGGCTCACTCTTCTGATTGTACACATGGAGCTAAATATTAGGAAGTGTTTTTGTAGCTCATTTTTATGGCTTGAACAGCAACTCTTATTTTCTCCTTTAAGATTCTGTTTTATTTGTTGCATATTGGAAAACTTGATTTTGAGGTGATAAATAATTTTGTGTTAGAATTTGACAGTACTGTAGATCCAAGAGGCAAAATTGGGTTAAAGTTGCTCCTCTGTGATTAGAAATAAGGAAACACTGACATCTAGTGGTTGCTTTAGGTGTAGAGCGTCTCCAGTTGTGGATTAGCTAAAACAAGTAGAAATATTGTAGAAAAGATTTAACTTTAAACTAAAGTCAGGATTCAAATTTTGATGCTGTTAATTTCTAAGATATGAATATGTTTATATTTCACCAAGTGATAAAACGTTAATTGTCAGTCGAAGTCGCTTCAGGTTTTTGGTCGTAAATTGTAACTGTTAAAAAATCAGATTCTGCAACAATACATCTTGTATATCCTTTGTCCTGTGAGTGTGTGGTGTGTCTTTTTAATGTAAAACATTTGTCGTCGTCCACAGAGGCCGTTTCGTTTCTACTGATCTTGATGCCAATCCCAAAAGTCTTGTGATCTTTCTGCTCCCAGGTAACAGTTCAGATGTACATGAAGACTCCAACTCGTCTCCCACAGAGTCAAAGTCCAGACGGTTCAGTCAGGAAACACCAAACGTAAGGTTTGGACCTTCTCAGAGTTAAGAGAACCTGACTGGTTTGGTTGGAGTTCTTTTGTTGGTTTGTCTGTACAAAGAAGATGAGTTAACTAAGACAGAGGAAGAGTATTTCAAAACCTCAAAAGGAAATAAGATCCTAAAACATCAATCTGGAAACATTTGGATGTAGCACTGTGCCTCGTTTCTATTGAGCGGTACATTACAGGTTGGTGTGGTTTGGTACGTTATTTTAACTGCTTTCATTGTAAAAATGGTCCAGCAACCAATCCATACTGCACCATTCCTGACTCCCTGCAGCTGAAGGTCCTCCATGGGACTGTGAGACAGTCAGGTTGAAGCTACTAGCATCACGCAACACAGTCCATTGATTGGCAGACAGAAAATGTCACTGCTCATGACATGCATAGTGCATCAAGTTTTTTTCATTGCGTTAGTGAGAAGCCACATTTAGGTTTATCCCACCTGCCTAATGAGAGTCCAACTGATGGCAGAACCAGGGGGGGACCCCAAGCATCCCTCCCCGATGGATACCAACACCACCCAGCTTATTCTGGTGCTTTCCAAGGTGTATTTGATCATAAGGGATGCAGAGTCCCTACAGCAGTAATGTCCATAACGTTGGACATTAGAACAGCCATTGTTCTAGATGTTTTATACGCCGCCCTGGTTAAAACACATGAATTACATCATTGGTTCATTGAGAGGGGTCTGAAAAACTTGGCCACATTTTGGGAAGGTCATTAAGCTGTTTGAATCAGCTGTTTCCTAACAAGAACATGACCACAACCTGCACGATACCAGTCCTTCTGGAGTTAGACACACCTCCCTACAGTGACTTCTGGTTACCTTTTGGGGACCCCAGAAAGGTGGAGGAACCCTAATAGACCCCTGAAGACCCTCAACAAGAAGACGGGATACAGCAACTGAAAACTACTGTTTGTGTTTACATGTCCCTGCTATCACCGGAATCAAATTTTTAAGCCGTTAGCAGGACTGAAGATCATGTTTGCATGCTGAGGAGACAAACCAGGAATTTGAGTTGGTTTGTATTTAAAATCAGGGAAAGGTCTAAAGGTTGTAAATACCGACCCAGAGCCCTGGAGGTCAGAGCCCCCCTTTAATTCAGCTAAACCTGTAGAGATGAGCTTTCAATGAACTGATGTAAGGTGGGGCTTAGGAATCCCAGCAGCTCCAGATGTCTCTGGATGATGACATCATGCCTGAATACTCACTGCTGTTTGGAGAAGTTGAGGGGATTTTATCTTTGGTCACCATCATTTTAATCTTCCAGGTTGGTTGAGTTTGAACAAACAGAGGAAACTGCAGTTTTCGTTTATCAGAACATTTCTCTCTTCATCTGAAAATCTCTGTATGAGAAACACGGTGTGCTCAAAATTAAATGTATTTTTACAGGAGAAAATCCAGCAGTGTCTGGGGACGAGATGAAGTTTGTTTCATGAAAATTTATTCACCTCCTTCAAGCAAAAAAACCCAAAAACAACAAGAAAAAAAACATTTTCTTGCTTCTACGTTTTGAAATTCAAATATTTCAGGAATGGTTTTCTATTCTTACCAATATAGTGACTACCGTTTAATAATTTTATTAAAATAAAGAATTTTGAATCTCAACAATTTAAAAGTGAGCCCGCAACTTCCGGTGACCGACACCGGAAGTGCCTTTGCTAGCTGCTGCTACCGCCGCGGTTGTTGCCGCTCCGAAAAACGGTTCAGCATGACGGTAAGTACATGGGATTTAATTACATTTTTCTGCAAGGTTAACGAAGGACAATAAAAACACACAACAAAACCATCTGCTAAACGTGGCTCTGAGGCAGCGACAACCTTTCTTTTTACAGCACTCAGTCTGTTTATCTTTAGCTAGCTAACCTCTTTCTTTAGCTAGCTAACCTCTTTCTTTAGCTAGCTAGTCTCTTTCTTTAGCTAGCTAACCTCTTTCTTAGGTAGCTAGTCTCTTTCTTTAGCTAGCTAACCTCTTTCTTTAGCTAGCTAGTCTCTGTCTCCAGATTATTTCTCTAGAACCTGTTGGTTCATTAAAAACTGTTAAATAAACCCATCACAGTGTCTGCCTTCAATTCCATGCTTTTTTTTCTCAACTACATTTTATGGCATCGTGGAACCATCAAAAGTGCTCTTTGCCTGTCTGTAAATAAGATAAAAATGTTCCATGTTCTTTGGATGAAAGCAATAAATTAAATCAGTGGTTCTCAAATGGGGGTACGCGTACCCCTGGGGGTATGTAGAGGTACTGCAGGGGTACGTGAAGCTTTTCAAAATATCTTTAAAAAAATCAGTCGGCTCCTCATAACAAGTCTTGGGAAATATTATTTTGTAAAAAGTTCCATGAAATATAAATGTGTGTTCATGCACTGAATTTTATATTCAGTATTTATTTTCAATATCCTTTAAAATAAAACGGACCCAGCGCATGACTACACTGTAACTATGGAGACGTGGCTAAAGCTAGCAGCAATGCTGCTGAAAGTTCAGATAAAGTGAAAAAGAAGAGAAAACCAGAGCCGACGAAGTACAGAACATACATGGAAAAGTATGTTTTAATGGGATTTACGTCCAGGATCTCTGACCCCCCAGGCACTGTGGTTTTTTTTGCGGGGAGAAATTAGCCAACCCTAGCATGCAGCCGGCACACCTCCAGCGGCATCTCACCACAAAACATGGATGTCATGTTGGTAAGACACCGGAGTTCTTCAGGAGAAAACTTTCTGAGTTCAAGTCATTCAAAGCCACAATGCGAAAAGCCAAAGCAACGAGCAAAGACACGCGGTGTCCACTGTCCACCTGCGGCAGGTCTGACCTGTTCCCTCGCCGGTGTTCATGGTGGCAGCACGCCGGCTCTGAACAGCAGGAACGGCAGCTCGGACACAATCGGCGTGTTGCCGGAGGACGCGGCGGACGCCCTGTCCAAGTGTCCCTGCCTGCCTGAGCTGGAGGAGTATCTGTGGAGCAGGAGCTGTGCGACGTGGTGCAGAAATTCAGCAGCCTGGAGTCACCTGAGACGTTAAATGAATTTAC